TTATATATTTATTTATTTATATTAATATGACAAGGAAACAAATTTTTCTTATGACACAAAATGTAACATTCAAACTAAATTCAAAATGCAATATTTGAGAAAAATAAATTTTTATCAGTACATAATATTATCAAATCAACCATCTTAGACATATTAATGAAATTCAAAAAATATGGGAATATAATCCATGATTGTGGCCTATGTTGAACCAACACCTCACTACAAATGTTGCAAGTGTCATAAGAATGATTACTAATTGTAATGTGAAACCTCAACCTAAATATACCAATAAGCTTGATGTATTGCTAAGGCCACTTACAAGCAACAAATAAGGCAAAAGATAGTGTCACCCAATCATCTTCAACTTCTGTGTGATTATAGCTAGAGCAACGTATTTAGTCGAATGTTCATGTCGGATTTTATTGAACCCTTTTGCCTAGCTTTGTTCAATGCATTGCATTTCAACTCTTACATGGAAGTTTTGTATTTGAAGAGTAATGTATTTATATATTTATTTATTTTTATTAATATGACAAGGATACAAATTTTTCTTATGACACAAAATGCAACATTCAAACTAAATTCAAAATGCAATATTTGAGAAAAATAAATTTTATCAGTACATAATATTATCAAATTAACCACCTTAGACATATTATTCAAATTCAAAAATATGGGAATATAATCCATGATTGTGGCCTATGTTTAACCAACACCTCACTACAGATGTTGCAAGTGTCATAAGAATGATTACTAATTGTAATGTGAAACCTCTTTCTTCATGGTAAGGCAACGATCAACCTAAATCCACCAATAAGCTTGATGTATTGCTAAGGCCACTTGCAAGGAACAAATAAGGCAGAAGATGGTGTCACCCAATCATCTTCAACTTCTGTGTGATTATAGCTAGAGCAACGTATTTAGTCGAATGTTCATGTTGGATTTGGTTGAAACTATTTTGCCTAGCTATGTTCAATGCTTTGCATTTCAACTCTTATGTTGAAGTTTTGTATTGGAAGAGTAATGTATTTATATATTTATTTATTTATATTAATATGACAAGGAAACAAATTTTTCTTATGACACAAAATGCAACATTCAAACTAAATTCAAAATGCAATATTTGAGAAGAATAATTTTTTATCAGTACATAATATTATCAAATCAACCACCTTAGACATATAATTCAAATTCTAAAATATTGGAATATAATCCATGATTGTGGCATATGTTGAACCAACACCTCACTAAAAATGTTACAAGTGTCAAACATACGTATATTGTCTTCAATTAAAAAATAATAAATAAAATGGGCATGCATATATGTATATCAATATTTCTCAAAGGACTGGTTTGAACAAAAGCCATCTCATTCTAATGCAACTAGTCAAGGTTATAAATAACTCCATCAAAGAATTCGAAGCTAGCTATTATATGCTCAATCTAGAGCTTAATCACCAAAAATAGAGGCTACTAGTCAAAGTTACTTATATGCACTACACTAGCAAGTCAGTGGCTTTGCACAGTAAGGCAATGACTTCACTTAGCTAATTAGCGATTTCACCTAATTAGTTTGTAGCTTTAACTACTAAGTTGACAACTTGGGTGTCAAAATAGGTTTTTGGGTCGAATTAGGAATTGACCTAGGTTTAAATGAGTTGACCCAAACCGTACCTAATTTTGTAGACATATCAGAATCCTGATCCGGACCCAACCTGCCAGGTTACCGAGTTGACCCAACCCAACCCGCTAACCTGAATCTCCTTCTTCCCAGCACGAGCAGTTTGGGGTGCTAGTGGTGCTGACGAAGGGGGCATGTGCGGACGAGCATAGCCTGCACAAGGTGTGGTTGTGGGATAGAGCAAGGATGCGACCTTGCTGGCACGGGTTCAAGTGCAATACGTGCGGATTCGAGCATATGGGAACTAGCGCGGTGCAGTGTGGGCACGAGCACGCAGGAGCTGGCGCGGGCGCACCACAATGTAGACGTGTGTGCTGTGGGCGCAGGAGTAGGCTTAGGCACAGGTCCGGGTGCGTTGTGGGCAAGGCATAAACGTTGGATCACGCTGCATGATATCTGAGTAACTTCAGGTTGATTTCGAGTTTTTTGGTCAAGCTGAACCCGATATGATTTTGTAAACGGGTCGAAATCTCAAACTCAAATCAAATCCGTATGTCAAACGGATCGACCCAAATCTAAAAATTTTCAGGTCAGATTTTGACTCTGGTCAAATATTTTCATCCAATAAATATGCACATTTCAATTGTACATACGTATTTTTATGCTTTTAGCAACATGTCTTATATACTCAAATATATTCTCTCTCTTTTTTTTTAAATAGCCTTTTTTGTAACACCAAACACACCAACCTCAGATTTATAAATAGAAGATCAAGAAGTATTTTGATGCATAAAATCATTAAATACCTAGTGAAATTTCCATAATTTGTTACTTCGGAATATATATGAAATCTCCCATAACTTATCACTATATATGATTATTTATTTATTTATATATAGTCCTTAGTCCTAGGGCCACAAATCCTCTCATTTTTCATGTAATTAATGTACCACCTTTTTTTGGTTTTTTATGTCCGATTCGTATCATACTCGGTGGCTCACTCTCACAGCGCCATCCCTTTCTAATACTGCTTCGTGGCGGCTCGCTGAGTTCGGAGACCGGGCGGCTCGTCTCCTCCCTCCCCAATACCTCTTATCACCTATTCTTCCCCCTCTTCTCTCCTATCTTCTCATCTATTCCCTGCATCACAAGGTCTCCATCTCTGCTTTCTTTAGGGTTTCATCATTCCAGATTCACCCACGAATCCTACTTTCTGTTAGTTAACGATACTTTATTGTAATCCGGAAGGAGTCTGAAATGCCTGATCTCTGGCGTTTGATCGGATATCTAATTCATCTCCTTCAACGTAAAGGTCCTTCCATCTGATTTTTCTGACCCGTGAATGCCAGTGTTTAGTCCGATACTGGATAAAGCTACCGATCCATCCATGTTTAGCAACGATCAAGTGTGAACTGTGAATCCCTTTCCTATTTAAGAGCCCTTGGGATTATTTGGATTCGCTTTCTGGAGACATTGGCTAACGTTGATCAGTTTTATTAGATGGTATGTATTGGTAGTCTACGAAGTTTTATCGCACGGACGGGCAATTTGAAGCGCCAGTCAGCTTCGGGAAGAAAAGGCCAGATTGGTTGTTTTGGGGATCTGGATGCGAAACTGTTAGTGAGCTTTCCACAGAAAAATTACCTCGGGTTCAGAGCAATCGTGACGTTGATGGCCGAGTCGGGCACGACGACTGAAGCTGGCACCGTCGCTTATACGTTTCCAGAGAAGGACTTTGATGAGGAGAGGGAGGGGGGTTATGCAAGCGGAGGTTGGAAAAGGTATCTATTATTCTTGGAAGATTTTATGTTTTGCCCTGGTAGTAAGATCTGGTATTGTTGGACATGAGAATATACTTTTTTTTTAGTATTATCCTAACTGGCTTACTACTAAAAACCTATACTTCAAACTCTTCAACTACAGAAGTAAGGATGTGATCATCTTGTTTCATTTGGATTGTCCAATAAGCACAACAGTGTTAGCTCATTTCAGATTGACTTAATTATTCTAGTGGCATATTGTGAAAGTCAGCTCAAACTTGTCAAGTGACGAATAGTGGTGCATCTTGCATATTAAAATAAAACCCTTATTACCAAGTGAACGGATGAATTGCGACGTACAATAAACTTAAGAGTAGACGGTTCAGTTGTTCCTGAGCCCTGAGGCTGGTCAGTCTTCTTGTTTTGTGGGTCAATTGTCCGTCCTGTTTCAATTAAGCTGGCTTTCACTCAAACCAGCATGACCGCATCTATGTCTACCCAAATATATATATATATATATATATATTACTTATTTATTTATTTATTTTTGGGAGGCGAAGGGAAGGGTGTAGAGAAATTATATCAACATTTGAAGAATTTTGTTTTGTTACATCTTTTGTAACGTGATGTTTTTTGGGTATTAATGGTATCTAGTGAAGGCATCATTTGAACATGATTAGGAAAGGCAATTTATGAATGGACAAAGCCTACAAATATTAGCAATACTAGTAATTTTCATAGTTTGACTTTATTAAGGGATTCAATGCAATTAGGGCACCCATTACTAGTTATCTTAAAATGGGAGAATTTCATCTTACAAAATTTGCTCATTTTAAGTTAAAGTTAACAATGAAAAACTTACCAATGCTTGTGTGCTTAAAATGTTGGATTTTCATAATTTATTGGAGGTTTCTTATTTTGTTTTAGGTATTGACATTTGTAGTGTTTTTCATTAAAACATTGCATCTCTTATTTTAGTGTGAATTGAGTGAATCAAATAAGAATATTCTTATTATGATTGATAATTTTATTTAGTAGCACATGCTCTTAGTTATTAAGGCTGTTATTTAATGTTGAAAAAATTGTTCTTTATATTTACCTACGAATCTTTACTTAAATTTGCAAAATAAGTCATGACATAGACATGCTTGATGGGTTGGATATTCATAAGAATATATTTTTTACTTGAACAACATACTTGTTTAGAAGATAAGTTTTTGTATCAGTTTAGTGTTAAGTGGAGCAACTATTATTGTATAGACCTTAAGGATAAAAGTGGATTAGCATTGACTATATTGAAAAGATATGATTCTTTTTAAGATTTTAATGGAATACAACACACACTAACTAATAACTCATTTATGCTTAACAACAAATTCATGGCTAGAGATGCTTATTTTTGCAAGGGAGCTCATTGGTATATTCATGATTCTTCTTCTACAGATTTCTTTTCCAGAATCACATGGTGTTGTTGCAGGCCACTTTGATAGGGTTGAACTGTAACAATGGAGGAAGATAAATGTTGTTGGCCCAATTTAAAATGAGATGTAGCATACGTAGTGTCACATTATAGAACTTGCCAAGTAGTTTCAAGTTAAAGAACTAGTGCCATTTTATATACTCTTCTTTTTCCCTAAGCCTTCAAAAGATGTTCGCATGACGTTTGTGCAAGAATTGCCGTAACTTTTAGGTTTTTATGCTAGTACTGCATAAACTTTTGGGAAGCAATATTTGTAGTGTTTAATCATTCTTCTAAAAGAACTGATATTGGTTTATGTACTCTACCTCTTTATTTGCCTCTTCATACTCGTCCATTAATTTTTTTGCTTGATCATGTAATTTTATTTTTGCTTATTTTATTTGATGATCATTTGACATAGTCTATCAATTCTATTCATCTAAATAATGGTTTCACTTTTGCTAACTTTATTTCGTACTCGCAAGATTGAGAAATAGAAGAAAACTTGTATTCAGGTCGGCATATCTGAATTACATGCCTTCAACCACTATTTATAAACTTCTTATAAACTAGATTACTAGATAAGTGGCACAAAATCAATCTCAACTAATTTTAAATTAATTCTAATTTTAATTTTCAAATCAGCCTAGTGCATTGATTTCAATTTCAATTTTGGACTCACTCAAAGCTGTCACTATGGATCCCGCACTTTATAGATGCCCACATGTCCAGAAGAGCATCTGCCCTCCCCCAATTTGTGCAGAAAAAGTGAATAACCAAGCTGAAGAACAAGGCAAATCCTTTGCCTAGGAAAATTCATAGGAGCCAGAGGCTGAACTCCCGCACATCCACAGGGGTTTCAAGCCAGTCCTTGCATTTTACATTTATTTATATAAACAAATGATACGTCAAGACGCATGTCCGGACATTCTCAAGTATCATAATCCACACGCCTCTCTTTTTTCTTCTTCTTTTTTTCATCCATTAATAGCAAATTCGTAAATCAACACTTGACCACCAAAAAAGGCCTCCTTAGCCATCAGCTACCGAGTCATCTTGTATATTTCATATATATGCTGTTAGTGTATAAGAAAATGATAATCCTTGTTTGTCTTTTGTGCCTCATTTGGGAAGCCAAATAGTTATTAACTCTTTATACAATGCTCATTTTATATTTTAAACTTTTATTGATGGTTGAAATCCATATTAAGTAAAAGAATAGTTGGTACAAAGAGCAAGACAACTCATATACAACTTCCTATTTGATAAATCATTTGGATCTCTAATTTTGGCTACCTTCAAATTGAATTGATGCCTATGCATATCATCTTTCTTCTATTCTGGTGTTGGTACTACTTAAAAGCAAGCTTAACTATAAAACAACAACAACATCAAGCCTTTATCCCACTACGTGGGGTCGGCTACATGAATCCTTTTTCTCCATTGTGTCCTATTAAAGGTCAAATTCTCATTTAAATCTAATAAAGAAAGGTCATTCCTAATATTTTCTAACCAAGTCTTTTTAGGGCTTGCCTCACCTTCTTAATATAAGTCAAATCTAATACCTCTACTGCTCCTAACACGGGTAATATGGAAGGCCTTCGTTTTATGTGACCAAAACATCTAAGGCAAATCTCTCTAAATCTTATCTTCTACTGGAGCTACCCAAGCCTTTTGCACTATTATGCTCATTTCTATCCTATCTCTAAGGGTTAAAGCCACTCATCCACCTGAGCATAGCTTCAATTGCTCTGCATCACTTAACTTAGATTATGCTTTCTCTTTTAAATGCGCAAACATTCAGCAACCATAAAAATAATTTGCAGGCCTCACTACCATCTTAATATGAATTTCCCATTAAGTTTGAGGGATACTTATTCTATCACACAACACAGCCCGACTGCATTCCGTCCACTTCAACATACCAGACTTGATAAATGCTGTTGAATAATATCCCCATCAAATTTCACCATCAACATCGGAACAATAGAATCCAAGATATCTAAAACCGTGAACTCTATATTAATGACTTGATCGGCCCAAAAGTCACATACCCCTTGACTATGTCTATTACTACTGTGAAAATTACACTCCATACATATTCCGCTTTAGATCTACTCAAGCGAAAACCTTTAGTCTCTAATGTTACCTCCATAATTCAAGTTTACTTTCAACTCCTCTCTAGTCTTATCAACAATAAGAATACATCAGCAAAAAGCATACCAGGGTACATCCTCTTGCACAGAATGTCTAGTGAGAATATCCATATTGACTAAACAAAAGATATGGGCTTAAGGTTGAATCCTTGATGAACCCAAACCGAAAATAGGGAAAATACTTGGTCAAACCACCTTGTTTTGAACACAAGTATAGCTCCTGCATACATATCTTAATGATTTGAATATAAGCGATTATTAATCCTTTCATTTCAAGAACTCTCCATAGCACTCTCTTGGAACTTTATCATATGATTTTTTCTAAATCAATAAATATCATATGTAGATCCTCCTTATTTTCTCTATATTTCTCCATCAAACCTATTAATAATATGTGTGGCTTCCATAGTCGACCACCCGGCATGAATCCAATTTGATTTTGAGAAACATTAGTATCACGACCGCAACCTATGCTCCATTAACTCGCTCCCATAGTTTAAAGTTGACACATTAACTTAATTCCTCTGATAATTCGCACAATCTTGTGCATCACATTTATTCCTTAAAAATAGGAAACACCAACTCATTCTCTCACTCATCTGACGATCCTCTTTAATCTTCAAATAGTATTAAAAAGTTTAGTAGCCAAGAAATTCCTTCATGCTCCTAAGCCTTTCCACACCTCTATTGGAATATCATCAGGTCCAACTGCTTTTCCACCCTTCATTTTCTTTAAAACCTCTCTAAATTCGGTTTTACTAATACGCCGATAAAAACATAAATCTTTATTTTCATTTAGGGTGCTAAGGTCACTATAGTCAATCTTATTTTCACAATTTTCATTAAAAAGTTTAGCAAAATATCTCATCCACCATTAAAAGCAATCTTAACTATAAAAGCAATATTTTGCTTCATTAAATGAATTCTTTATGTCACTGGGCAATACGATAAATATATGCTTTTTTACACTGGCATCACTGGCATGTTGATATAAATTCCTTGTAATTTTTATCATCATTGATTTCTCCTACAAGAGCATGCTGGTGATTAGGGACATATTGGCCTAAAATATGATGTTTTATTTTATTATGATGGGATTTTCCCTGATTTTACTACTAAATGTTCACTGTTCTAATTAATGATAAGAATGGATGTTTCCCAGCATCCTCATTGGTTCAAAATTTTGTGCTTTTCTATCTTTAACATTTGAAACGATATACTAAAAGTGGGTTTCTTTGGACCGCATGACTTGGCAGTGAGGATGGTAGATTGAGTTGTGGATACTCAAGCTTTAGAGGAAAGAGAGCAAGCATGGAGGATTTCTTTGACATAAGGAACTCCATGATAGATGGACAAACTGTTAATCTCTTTGGCATATTTGATGGTCAGCTGCTGATTTCCCCATTTTTTCATATTGCTAGTGAGTTCATTGTTTTTTATATCCTTGTTTCTATTTTACTCAGGTCATGGTGGTTCACGCGCAGCTGAGTTTTTGAAAGCGCACTTATTCGAAAACCTTCTTAAGCATCCAGAATTTTTAACTGACACAAAAAAGGCTATATGTATGATTTTCTTTGAGTTACATCATTGTGATATGTAACAGTTTCTCTTAGCTGATTTGTTGCCTCTTGCAAAATGCAGCTGAAACATATAAAAAAACCGATTCAGATTTCTTGGATTCTGAAAGTAATACTTTCAGAGATGATGGTTCTACAGCTTCAACTGCGGTTCTAGTTGGCAAACGTTTATATGTAGCAAATGTTGGTGATTCACGTGCTGTTATATCAAAAGCAGGCAAAGGTTTTAAGTAGCCTCTGAATTCTGGTTTTAGTTCTCAGGAACAAAATGTTAGCATGTATAATGTTAGTGTACTGGATGGGCTTATCGATACAAGGATAGTCTGGATGAATTAGACTTTCCATTAGATTTGCAAGAGATAAGATGGTGTGGAAGTATATTTTTGGTTTAGACTGAAAGCATGTCTTTCATGGTTGTATGGCCATAGCTTATTGTTAAATTTGTGCCTATTTATGCATGCCACTTAAAAATATTGTAATGAAAGTTTACTTGAAAGTCACGGAAGGAAGCTTCAATTATACTCTTGTGCTTTTTTGCTAGATCTAACTGCTAGATTTCTTGGCCAATTTTTCGAACTATGAATATGTAGGTATTTTTTTTGAAATTGGTCTTCCCATGCGGTCTATATGTTTTCTTGATTTTCCCCCCTCTAACTTCTCTATTATTCTTTTCTTTTTGCTTCTTATTGATAGCTGTACCTCTTTCTGATGACCACAAGCCAAATAGAAGTGATGAGCGCAAGCGAATTGAGGATGCTGGAGGAATTGTTATGTGGGCAGGTAAGCTCTTACTTGTCACATATGATACATTTATTTCTTATATTTCCTTGGGTGATGTAATTCTTAAGATGAACAAAATGGTTGCATTTTGCTTGACAAGTGGCGTAGAGATTTTGATTGTTTGATTTGTTCATTTGTCCACATGAGGGAAAACATTTTTGGTGTTGTTTGCATGATAATACAAACTGATGTTGTGCATACACATTCCTCTCTTATTAGGAGAAAGGAAAAAATTATTCACTTTCTTTTGTGAATGAGATATTCGATGGAAGATCTTGGTTTTTTTTAGTATTTTACATTGTTAGTGTGAGCTTCACCAACTTGCTTAATGATGTTTTTTTTTTTTTTTCCTCTTGCAGGCACTTGGAGGGTTGGAGGTGTGCTTGCAATGTCACGGGCTTTTGGTAATCGCCTGCTAAAGCAGTTTGTAGTCGCAGAGCCTGAGATTCAGGTGGATACTTTTCTATTATATTTTCTCTTGTAAAGCTCTTTAATCATATGCTTCTTGAGCCTGGATTCTAAGGCTTCGTTTGGGACGGCTTTTTTATTGCTTCTTAAAGCAGAGTTTTAATAGAAAAATTAAATTTTTTTACTAAAATTCCGTTTTAAGAAGCAATAAAAAAACCGTCTCAAACGAAGCTTAAGTCTCTTGATCAGATGTAACCTCTGATCACTAAACATTGCTTGAAAGAGTTATTAGAAAAGTTCTAACATCTTTGACTGCTTTGTACTCAATTGGTGCAGTGATCATTACTACAAATGTTAATTTTCATCTTGCATTTTACTTGCAATCCATGTACTTCACTTTGAAGTTCATATCATGTATTTATATGAGATATTGAATAGAATTAGGGAATAGGCTAATATGCTGCTTAGGTTTAATAGATAAAGATAATTTTTATTCTCAATATTTATAACTTAAAGGCTGAAAATAAAACTTGATGGTAGTAGCCAAATGTTAATATGAGTTTCTTTGCCGCTTTGGGTGTTTAGTGCAAACATTTACTGATGAGCATTCCTGTCGATTTTTCTCATATTTGCAGTCACCAACCCCTTAAAGAAATTTTGAATTGCAGTTAAGAATATGCATAAATGAGAACTTGATTAAAAAAAAGCTGCAATTTATGCTTTCCAAATGACGAGGATGATCCCTCTTTGGTGATGTCAGGATAACCAGTACGATGGGGAAGGTAGTGCGAAGTAGTGTGAATGAACGTTTGAAAGAAATTCTCAGAAACCATTGATAGGTAAAGTATAAACTACACCATGTAACATTCCGGTTGTGGTGGGAAACGTCAAGAAGCAAGTCTTTGTATTTGTTCCTTCAAAGTACCTAATATAAAGATAGAAATAAAAAATAAAAGTTCAAAGCAAAAGAAACATGATTCATTCTAAGGAAAGCTTTTAGTATTATATCAACGATTACTAATGGATTCAATATTTGCCTGTGCTGTTCAGGGTGGTATAAAGATCTTAAGGTATGTTGATTGTGTTGTGTAGATCATAGAGCTCAACAGTAATAAAAGAGCGATTTTGTTGTTGGCTTTAGTTTCTTTCATTTTGGCATGAGTAGTGAACGCGATGTTGGTTCAATATGAAATTTCTTTCTGCTTTTAGTAATAATGAATAGTTTCAGGCACATAAATGGTAGTTGGTATTTCATATTTAGTTGAAATAAATAATGTTTAAAATACTATAATAAGTTAAAGAACCATACCCTCTGTCTACTTTGACTATACCCTTCTTTTCAAAGTCTGCTTTTCCTTTATTATTATTATTTTTTGAGGGGTAATTTACATACATACCTCTTTATTTCATGCTATTTATATATTTAACATTCAAAACATTACTATTACATTTCTATCACTCATATACAATTTTAATATCAAATATATCACTCTTATATTTTATTCCTACCACTTATACCACCCTATAAATTTTAATATTTCATTCAATGCACCCATATTTGTTCTTTGGTTGGTAGGCATGTAATATTAATATTTTAGGTGTTAGATATGTAAATAGCATGAAATAAAATGGTATATATGTATGTAAATCGTCCTTTTTTTTTCTTTTTTTTTTGTCCTCCAATCTCTTAAATCATCCAATATGATCTTTGAATACAGGAAGAAGAAGTTGGTGAAGACCTAGATCTCTTGGTTCTGGCCAGTGATGGATTATGGGACGTTGTGCCAAATGAGGTGAGCTTTTCCTTGTCATGTATATGCATGAACTATCATACTTCTCACATATTAAGGCATTTTGTACCTGGAATTAATTTTCTTTCTTCATGTAGATTGGTTTGTTTTCCTTCCCTAAAGTAGGGAATGGCATATCAACACTTTCTCTAAATGGCATGCAAACATGTGATTAATGCAGCATTTGAAAATCATGTATGGACTATAAAATTGGCTAGAGATTTAGGCTTTGTTTGGGACAGCTTTCTTTCTGAGTCGCAAAGCAGTTTTCTAATTTTTATACTAAAATTTGCTTTAAAAAGCAGTAAGAAAGCCATCCCAAACGAAGCTTCAATTTTTTACTGTTATGCGGCATGGATTACATATCCTGAACAAAATTGGAGGTCCTGGTCTGAATATTATAAATTATATCAATTATATTAGTTCAGCCGTGCTTTCTTATTTGGTATTTTTCTATATATACTTTTTTGTTTTTTTAAGTACACGAAGGATTGCTCATTTTCAAGTCTGGTGCTCCATTTAGTGGTAGAACTGGGAAAGGGCTTGGAGTGGCTATCGCCTTTTCGAAATTTGAGAAAAGTCATTGTATGATATGAACTTTTTACTCTTTAATTTTCTTGTAATTATGTATAATATACAAACCTTAATTCTCTTAAATTTGAAAACATTTTTTTCTGTCTCCCTGCATTTGAAATTTTAGCTCTGCCCCTCTATTCATATTCTCAGTCAGCGGAATATTATAAAAGAAAAAATTTCTTTAATTACTGTTGATACTTATTCTGAGAACAAAATTATAGTTTGCGTGATTATTCAATTTATATTTGCTTCGATGAATAAAACTGTTAGACTTGAACCTGTCCAACTTGGACCGGCTCAGGTTTACACCCGCCCGCCCAGATAAGAGGGGCAGACAACAAGAGGGAGGGCGGAAGCCTTGGTGGGGCTCAAGGCTTAATTAAACATTGTTTGAGAGGGAAAATTTGAATTAGGGGCTGTTTAGAGATTGTGTAATGTTCCTTTTTGTTTTAATTAGTCTCTCTTGTTAGGATTTGGGATTATCTTGAATCTGTAAAATCTGAATTTGAGATATAGGATTTGCTCTTGGGCTCTAGGCTTCAGCTAGAGATTTGGAGAGATGAATCTTCATCTCGAATTAAAGATTCATTGTATCAAATTGTCTTTTCCTTCTATTGAATTTCAAGTGTGTTTCTCCCTATTTTTCTACGTATTTTTGTGAAAACGGCTCCGTTATTGCTGAATTTTTCTGAAATTCAGTAGTTTTTTTTGTGTTCCGTGGCTGTTTTCTATCAAAGACCCTGTACTGTTCATTCAATATTGGGAAATTAATGATGCATTACTCTTTTACTCAAGCTGAGTTCTTTTCTTCGACATATAGTACATAGCCTAAAACTATATACTCCACTTGCGAACCTTTTACCTCAATAACCTGTTGATTTGTCTTTTTTTTTCCTCGTTTAATTGCTGAAATGTTTTTTTTTTCCTGCATCATTGGAAGGATGGAATTTCGCTTGCAAGAACAGAAGAAGAAGCAGAGGCTGCTGCTCGAAAGTTGACTGAGACTGCTTTCTCTCGTGGAAGTGCAGACAACATAACCTGTATTGTCGTAAGATTTCATCACGATACTAAAGAGAAAGATATTTCTTCTGATGATCACCAATCAATCTAATTATTTTCTCAAGAGAAGGGGGAGGAGGAGAAGGTTTTTTGTGTAGTAGATGGAACTCCTATTTTTATCAATCGTGGACCTGTTCTTCTTAACATTTGTTCATATGTTGTAAAATCTTATTTTGTGTGGATATTCATCTTATCGTTGTGCATCCATGGAGTGCATATTTTTTTAGCCCTTGAATGATTTTGTTTTGGAAAATACATTTATTTTAGACTCTATGAGTTTTTATATTCTTTCAAATGAAAAAAAAAAAATACCGTATATAAATTAAGGAAAATGAAATTTGAATATTTTTTAAAAAATGATTAAAATGGTCTATTGACTCTTTATGAGAGGTCAAATTAGTTTTAAATATATTAAAGATTTATTTTAGTCTCTCAACTTCTTAAAGATGAATTAGAATAAGCTCACCATTAAATTATTTTTATTTAAAAAAAAAATTAAGGGATCAAAATGATTGTTTAATATAATTTGGGCTATTTAATTTGATCCTTTATGAAGGGTATGGATAATTTTGATAATTTTTTTTATTTTAAAATATTTTTCTCTTATGTGTTCATATATTAAAATATGATGGGTAGTAGTGAAAAATATGTCCAATGTGTGTAAATTAAACATGATTAAATTTAAATGAAAAATATTTTAGTTTTTAAAAGATATTGCCATATATGGGGTATATTTTATGATATGGAAAATTGCGAAACTATATAACCAATGTGTGAAAATTCAAATGCATTTGAAAAGTTTTTTTTTCCTGAATTTTTTTGTGCTCTTGATATTATTAATATTTTCATTTCCTTGTAAAACAAACTATTAATTTTTTTTGTAATATTTTTTTATTGTATCTAATAATTCATGATGTAATGTGAACTTGGTTTTGCATTGATAGCAATTAAGTAATTGCCTTGTGAATAAATCTCTATCATAGATTAAGTTTTTTTCTGGCATGATATATAAAATATTAGGATTTATAAATGTAATATTTAAATTAAATATTTATATAAATAATATCAAAATAAATTAGAAAATTACATCTCTCATTATAATTCCCATCATCTTATCATTATTAATGTCTCATTCTCTATTGCACGTAGTTAATCGCTCTCTCAATTTTTTACTTTCTCTAGTTTCGATCTACCAAGTTCTTTCAAAAAATTTGAAGCCCTTAGTAACAAACAATAAAGGAAGGAAATCACGTGAGATCTCGTAGGAGAAGGTAGCAACGTGTCAAGGTGGAACCTCTAAGTCATGCGAAGTCGGGGTGGGAGGTTTTCGTGCATGAGCTCACTAAGAGAAGACATCGACGAATGCAACAATGGCATGATTGGACCTATTCTATTAACTCCATTTAAGAAATTGCTAGATTATATAATAATAAATTTAGACAAAAAACATATAATGTTTCAAATCATATTTACAAAATTATCTATTTTTTATTCAAATATATGCACACTCATCCAAATTAAATATATAAATGTTTACTATTATTGAATATGCACTCATGTGATGTGTCATGGGACTAATTGGATGCCACAAGTGTGAGAGCATATATACTAATTAAGCTCGCCTAATAGGATATACTGGACAAGTCTATTGAAACCCTAATTGCCTACTTGTTTCTTCTTCCACTTTATTCCTCTCCTTTGGCTCTGCTAGAGGCCTAGCCTCCTTAATATGGAGTCGGAAGACCCCCACTATAGGTTTGATGTTACAACTGCACTCAAATGGAAGTCACTCTTCTCATCTCAGACTCTTTGACGGTGGCTTTCCCACTTTCATTTGTTCCTTCTAAGGAACCATTGGTTAACTTCTTGCCGGATCGGACCGCTAAGGGTATGAATGATTGGAATATTTCCTTGGTTTGTTATTCCCTTGGTAAGCGACCTTACTATAAGGCTCTCCTTGCAACAATTAAAAAAGCTTGGCCTCTAAAAGGTAACCTTGCACTCGTTGCTCTCTCGAATGTTTTTTTCCTTATCTATTTTTCTCTGTCTAAGGATTATGAGATGGTTTTGTCAGGTGGACATTGGTTTTTATTAGGAAAGCCATTTATTTTATAAAAAGGTCCCCCTCTTCACCTGCAAACGATAATATTTTACCTTGATCCCCATGTGGATCAAGATCCATGATTTGCCACAAGCTTATTAGAACCCTGAAGTAATCTCTATGATTTATAGATATTCCTTTAGCTGTTGATCGTCTCACTGCCAAAAAAAAATTGTCTCACCTTTGTTCAAATTTGTGTTCAAATTGATGGAAAGTTTGATCTAGTTAATGAAATTCCTATTTCAATGGCCGACAAATTACACAATCTCATGGTCAAGTATGACTAAAAAATGTTTCCCTATGATTTGTATCGTTTGTTTGCTCATTCCACCAATTTTTATACTAAAAACCCTAACCTTATTGTACCAAAAATTGTTACTAATCGATGGAGGAGTACTAGCTGGAAATCTAAAGGATCTTGATTTACATCTAAATCTAAAACCATTAAGGAATATGCTCCTAAACCTCCAGAGAAACAGTTTGGTCTGTTAGGGGTAGCTACTTCTAAGATCGTGAAAGATCTTGTTAGTACCCTAGTTGTTATTAACTCTAGGTGTTTAAATAGTATAAGATTTGATATGCTGGTCAAATTAGGTTCATGCTCACTATGAGTTGAAGGGCAAGACAAATATATTTATTTGTAATGCTTTAATATTTTTTTAAATATTTATTTTATCACTAATATACTTAGTGTGTCCTGGAGTATTCACGACGGTAGAGAAATATAAAGTTTAACGTCTTAGCTTTATACGAAGATCCAGCACACAATCAGATAAAAAGAGAGGGTGCTACATTCATAAGAGACACTAATATTTTTACGTAGAAAACCTGAAAAGGGGAAAAACCATGATGTCTTGCCCAATTTGAATGAATCAACTTTTATTTAAAGTTTAGTACAAATGAGGCCTTTTCTTAGGGGAATGCCTTAGCTTGATGTAATAAGTATACTTCATATAGAGTGTGTTACATGATGGAACTTGAAAGAATCACTATTGACACATCTATTTGGTTGGTAAAACCATAGTCGATGGGTTATGCAGGTTGGAAAGACTATAGTCTGGTGACAGTGGTTAGAGAAACCATAGTCAGCTGGCGATAGAGGTTAGAAGAACCATAGTTGGTGGGTGATAGTGGACATAAATATTTTTGTCTAGCGACTGATGTTAGAATGACTATAGTCAAAAGGCAACAGTAGTCAGGAAGACTATTGTCTTGTGAAGGTGATTGAAAGGACAGTAGTCAGGTAGTGATGGAGGTCGAAAGTTCAATGATGGGTAGAAGTTTGGAATCAGGTAGAAGTTTAATGAAAGTTTGACGATGGGTTGAAGTCAGGAGATAGGCAGAAGTCTGGCAATGAGAGAAAGTCCGACGACGGGCATAAGTTTGACATCAAGTAGAAATCCAGCAATTGGCAGAAGTCCAGTGTTGGGTAAAAATCCATCAACGGGTGGAAGTCCGACCACTAGTATAAGTCTAGCGTCTAGTAGAATTTTAGCCACAAGAAGAAGTCTGTATTATGTAGAAATCTAATGACGGGTGGAAGTTTGGCGTCTTGTAGAAGTCCAATGAAAGTCTGGTGACGGGAAAAAGTCTAGCATTAGTTAGCATTCGGGCAGAACTTTGACGTCGGTTGGCTGTCAGGTGGTAGTCCAGCAATAGTCGAGGAAGAGTCTGATGGCAAGAGAGCACACTTCCTTCTCTTCTCTCTCTCTCTCTCTCTCTCTCTCTCTCTCTCTCTCTCTCTCCCCTTCCTTCTTAGGGGGTCCCTCTCTATGAGAAATAATGGGTCTATTTATAGCTTTTTTAGAGTATCATGGTAAGTAAATAGGAGGAATATAAAGGGAGATTTTGGAGTGGTTTGAACGGATGGACAATGTTGAATCCCTTGATCATGAACTTTTTATTATACATTTTAATGTCTTAATGATATCATAATTTGATGATCTAAGGCTCATTGTACTCGCCTCATTGAGCTGCTTGATTCGATTATAAGCATGTCACATTTGAAAATCGTTTAGTAATCTAAATTATGGTTTGACCCTTCCAAATATGCTTTGAGTTTTTGATTTGGATTCATTTGGGCTCGGATTGAGTAGAATTTGGTGTCATTGGGTTTGTATTTCTAAGATGTTCAGTCGACTGTAAGTTTACTGAAATCAAAGTTTAGATGGTATCCGATTTAATTTTTGAAGTTTACAACACTATTTTCCCTTAATATTTATGCCCGATCAAGATAATTTTTTGATGATATATCAATTGCTCCCCTATTTTTGGGCGTCAAAACTCTAAAAGTCTGAAAAATACATGTCATACCTTTTTCGAGAAATTTTAGATGCGATTTGAAATTCCAAAATATTTCAAAGTGCCCAAATTTGATTATAAAAGCTCTGATGAATTATGAAAGTGCTAAAATTGAGCCCGAAATAATGAAAAATTATTCCGGGGACCCCAAAAATATATAATTTTGACTGTGTGGGCCAAAAAATGGACTTAGACGCATCTTGGCGGCGGCCCCCTCCACTGCCGGATACATTTTCTACAACAACGCAAGGAATGGTGCACCCGCTTGGGCGCCACGCAGTTATGAGTAGCCGGCAACTACCGGCTACGGTTATATGTGATTTTTTTTTTTTTACTTTTTTCATTTTTTTAGAGGTGACATTATGCCACCTGTTAAAATAGGGGAGGCTATCAGCTCCACCTTTTAAATTTTGTTTGGGAGGGGGCCCACACATTTTTTAAGAGGGGGTGGTTGTTGCTGTCGCCCCTCTCAATAAATTTTTTTTGGGCCCAAAAAATGTTTTTTTAATTAGGAATTTCAAAAAATCCATTTTGGGGCCCAAAAGTTTCAAGAAAATTATAGAATAACTTTAAATTTTTTTAACAAATTGGAGGCAAAATTCTCCCCAAATTTTGAACATTTCCCCCCATTTTTGTCGTGTAAATACTCCTCTTAGGGCAAGGAGAAAATTACTCCATTTCTTCACCTCCCTTCTCTCTTTAATTTTCTTATATTTAAGGCATCCTGTTGTTTATGATAGGTGGCATCCCTTAATCAAATTCAATGCCCCTTCCTACGTCTTCTTATCTTATTTTCTTCTTATGTTAGAGGTATTTCACTATCTAAGATAGGC